AAGTTCAAGAAAGAAGCCATCAACGTGTATCAAAGAGCCATTGCGTACCTAGAAAAGTGGTATAATTTCACCGATTCAGTATATGAGACGCTAAATTGTTTCAATCTAATTGATCACAATAATCCTCCAACTTTAGAAGAAATGACGAACATCTGGTTATTATCACCATGGCGAGAAGAACTTCCACCCAACACTCTCTTCGATGAAATTTCTGCCTTAGAAGAAGTTTATGTTCATCTGCAGGGTGATTCATCCCTTGATAAGTGGACGTACTTTTTCAAGAAAGAGCCAGCTCCGAGTTTACTGAAACTGTTCCAGTATTGTGCATCAATTCCGGTATCAAATGCAAACATTGAACGAATTTTCAGCATCATGGGAAATTTGTGGACTGACGAACGTAACCGACTGCTTGTACCATCAGTTCGAAGTGAACTTTGTATATTTTTTAATATTTCTCAACGTTGTACTGAAATTAAAGAATTATTCCTTAAACACAAAGAATTGATCAAAGCTGCGCAGTCAAATAAAAAATACACATGACAGCAAAGTAAAATGTAATTTAATATTTTATATATTATAATATATTTGATGTTTTGAATTTTAACTAAAGTTTTGAAGTGATTATTTTAATACATGTTAAAATGTTTGTAAGAAAATATATAATTTAATTATAATTTTTTTTATTTTTTTACTACTTAACCCCCCCCACCCCCCCGCTTGTCCGCTATTTTTTGGAAGCAGACCTGGCAACCCTAACAAGGAACCAGCTTTACATCCAAAGAATTCCTTTCCCTTGCATTTACTGGTCAGTCCATAAACCTGGGAGACTAAAAAAACTCCTTTATATATACTATTTTTTTCAATTCCTTCATTCTGTTTTCAAGAATGTTATTTTGCTTTTACCTGATGCCGCTCTGAAAATTAGTTGGATGTGGATTTGTCTGTTTCGGCTGTGGTTCTTAATCTATTTGACCTAATTACCCTTTTTCCCAGTCTCAAATAATGCCATTCATTATCTGAAAAAAATAATAGAGTTGTTGCTTTGCATGAACATCTCAGCAGTAGCAGTTTCAAACTGGTTCCTCAACTCAGAAGAAGCAATTATAAATTGTCCATTACTCCAGAATATGCCAAATTACCCCTTGGGAAGTCAGTGCCCCCAGTTTAAGAACCACTGCTTTAGAATCATAATTAGCTTCAACTAATTTCAGTGGTCCACCACTGAAGTCACCTTTAAGTAAATCTGGACACAATCCTATCTGCTTACTTTATTCTGAACATTGGAAATTGCAGTCTAATATTAATCATTGTAAATGGGTTACCTGCATTTTAAAACACATTTTCTGCTTTCCCAAAAAGTCCCAATTCTCTTGTTCAAAAGATAACTTTCCTATCTTTAGAAAATAGAACTTCCATATCACCAAGTCACCATGCACTGTAGTTCCTTGATTGAAGGTTATCATTTATAATAAAAGTAAGGATTATGTAGATGGGAGAGAGAGAGAGAGAAAAAAAAACATTCATAAAATGGATTAGAAATACAAATACATACAGGTGGCATTTTATATCCAAGTAAATTACTGGGTAAGCATCACAAATGTCATGAAGTCTTTTGTTATTGTTTATATTACCGCTTTTATGATCCTTGCAAAAAAAAAAAAAAGAAAGCTACATTCAGTGTCTTTTGTTGAACAAGGTTGTGAGGCAGGTCCTCCTGTGTGTCTAAGATAAAAAGTCTAAATGTTCTCACTCCACTTTCTGACAGTAGAAACAGAAAACCATTCATCATGGAAGTTTCCTACACAGAACTGAAATGAATGTCAACTGCCAGTTGGCAGAGCTCCTCCACTTGGATTTATAAAAGAACAAGCACTGACACAAGTAATGAATGCTACCTTCTATCACCTTCCTGTTGTGTTGGGACAGTTCCCAAATTTCTAGCTAGCTTGGGTAGAAGCAACTGCTAGGAGAAAGCAGCATGAAACTATTAATCCAGTTGTCTCCAAATTGGTTCCACCTTGAAATGAAATACTGTATGTCAATGGTCATGATGGGAATTGTAGTCCAATAAAGGAACCAATAAAATATTCTTTTCCAATAAAAGAAAAAGAATAGGGATGCGGTGGCTCAGTGGCTAAGATGCTGAGCTTGCCGATCGAAAGGTAAGCAGTTCAGTGGTTCGAATCCCTAGTGCCGTATAACGGGGTGAGCTCCCATTACTTGTCCCAGCTTCTGCCAACCTAGCAGTTCGAAAGCACGTAAAAAATTCAAGTAGAAAAATAGGGACCACCTTTGGTGGGAAGGTAACAGCATTCCATGCGCCTTTGGCATTTAGTCATTATTTATTATTTATATGCCGCCCTTTTCCAGAGATTCAAGGCGACTTACAATGCGTTAAGCAATAGCCTTCATACCTGCTTAGTAGGGCTTTCACCCCCCCCCCAAGCGGTGTTCTTTTTTATACAAAGTCAGCTTATTGCCCCCACAAACCGGGTCCTCATTTTACCTACCTCGAAAGGATGGAAGGCTGAGTCAACCTTGAGCCTGGTGAGATTTGAACTTACAGTAATTGCAGGCAGCTGGTGTTACTTAACAGTGCTTTAGTCTGCTGCGCTACCAAGGCTCATGCCGGCCACATGACCATCTTCGGACAGCACTGGCTCTTCGGCTTTGAAACGGAGATGAGCACCGCCCCCTAGAGTCAGGAACAACTAGCACATATGTGCGAGGGGAACCTTTACCTTTTAAAGGAACCAACTTAATGAAGATAATTGCCTCCTCATGATAAGTATACAGGGAATAAATATACATGATAAATATACATGAATTATTTTCATGAAAATGTACAGCAAGAAAAATTATAGTAATAACCATTGCATTAGCTTTTTGAGGAGGAGAAACATAAGTTGACCTTTGCTTTACATATCTAATTTGAGATGGAATCAGTTTCAATTTCCAAACATCTCAGCCTTCCCCCGAGGTAGCATCCTTTTTGCACAGCACCTAGAGCAAGAGTGCTGTGTCGCAATAGAATGGAAAAATACTGCTATGAGGTAAGGAAAACAGGCATGTGCTCCTTTCACATCAGAGAAACAACTGAGAGTGACATGCCCTCCGGTCTAACACATTATCCCCAATAACTATTTATTATACAACCAAAATTATGACTTGTTTTTAGAACATGTCACAGAGAAATGAGGGCAGCTAGAATTCTTTGAAAGAGAAACAGCTCCAAGATTTAAACTAACAGGCTGAAACAAAACTCAAGCACATATAGCCGTGATGATGAACCTATGGCACACGTGCCACAGGTGGCATGCAGAGCCCTCTGTGGGCACACCAGCCATCACCTCAGCCCAGCTCCACTGCGCATGAGCGTATGCCTCCTGCTGGCCAGCTGGTCTCTGCTGCACATGCATGGGGCGCATGCGGGGAACATGCATGCGCATGTGCGGGGGGTAGGGTGCATGCACAGGGGGAGTGCAGGTTGGTGCAGGAGGCTTTAAAGGCCCAAAACGGGTTATGGGGGGGGCCTTGTGCTGCGCCACTGCACCCCATTTTGGCTTCCAGTTGGTGCAGGAGGCTTTCCAGGCCCAAAACAGGGCTCACTGCACCCCATTTTGGGCCTGGAAAGCCTCCTGCACCAGCCTGGAAGCCAAAATGGGGTGTGGGATGGTGGGGTGCATGCGTGGGGTGCATGCGCAGGGGATGCACCCGCATGCACGGGGGGCACTCACATTGCATTTTGGGGGTTTGGGCACATAAGCGTGCATTTGTGCGTGCATGCGCTTTGGGCACTCGGCACCAAAAATATTAACCATCACTGACATATAGCTTGCCCCTGCCACAAAACACAGTCTTCCTTATTTGGTTGGGGTATATTATCATGTGTACCTTTTTACACAGTCCAATCTTTTGCTTTCTTTTCTGATATTTTCCACTTTTTTGGATAACCTATTTCCAGTGCATTTATGTCTTATTCACAACCATGATAGCAAATGACTTTGTTAAAAAACAGAAACGCAGATGTTCAGGAAGTCAGATTTTGCGTCAATTCTCCTTATTTTGCACTTTTTATACTTACATGGTATTGCAGCATATAGATACCCTTAATTTATGCAGAGAATGTGCATGATTAAATTCTTCTGTTTAATAAATAATGACCATAAACCTGATTTTCTTTTTCATAATTATTATTTTTTATTCTACCGAGAGTTCCTTTTTTCCCTTTTCTAAAATCTCATACATTTTGTACTTAGCAGTTGAGTTATGTTGATCATGTTTTTCAGCAACTTGTTGAAACTAAGAAAAATTGTACACAGCACACCCACAATATTAATCATTCCTGGGAAAAGGGTTAATGTTTTCTTTTCAAATCAGAGATACTGTGCAATAATGAAAAAGATATGAGAAGTGGCCTCTCTGTAAGCAGCAACTGGGTCTCATCAGATCCAAGGAGAAAACAACCTACTTTGATAAATCAAAGCAATTTGTCAAGCCGGCTTGACAATTTGGCAGGCTTCCTTGGCTAAAACCAGCAATTATTTATCATTTAATGTCTCTGCTATTAGAGAGAAGAACACAGGAGCATTGTTTACACATGCATCTGTTCCTACCCATGATGATGCCAAACCGATGAGATGTGCTGTGACATCATGATACAAGTTCTGCTCTTTTGTGATTGTGTTACAACATTGCTTACAGGTACATAAGAAGTCTGAACCATGATGCATGGTTTGTTGTTGCCCTCTCTTACAAATGTTAGCTTCATTTGGTGGGCTAATAATTCTTCCTTTCTCTTTCTCCTCCCAGTGCCTCAATCCCTTTTCCCCTACCCTCTTTATTCTTGCGATTTTCTTTTTCTGTTGTTGGAACAAGGGAGAGAAATGTCTGTGTGTGTTGGGTGTGAGTGATTTGCATTTCAGACAGAGAATGGAAGATGTATGTAGATGGAGAAATAAATTAATTTGATGAATTTATTCTACAGGAAATTAATTTTAATGATAAGTTATTAATTTAAATAACTGCTTTCTTCTGGCCATTCTCTTAGAATATGCACGATTCTATTATTATAGCCAATATTGATAAAAGTAGTTTTAGCTTTGCTGTGGAGTGGATTTTCTGATCTGGTCTGCCTGGTGGGATTAACGTCGATTTTGCAAGTCTCTTTGCACTATCCCTCCACTCACTCTTGTACACCAGTGAGTTAGGGAGACATTCACCTGAGTTGCTTTCAGATGTTATCTCATTGTTCTGGACTTAAAAAAAAATATTTCAGCCCCTCTTGTCTGGATAATGATTCCTACAGATCTCCATTTGAATACTCTACCTCTCAAGTAAATGTCTTAAATTACAGGAAGAGAGATTCTAGCTGAATACTAGGAAAACATCTTAACAGTAAGAATAACTTGAGAAGGGACTTAGTCATCACATCTTGTTGATGGATCCAAATAGAGGCTGGATAACCATCTATCAATGATTTTTGATTTGACTGTTTTGGTGAGTAGGAGACTGAAATCAATATTATAAATGGCTTCTTCTAACTCTAGGTTTTTAGAAATGTTGTACATTGAGGATTCAGCTTTCAACTCTTTACTCCTCTCATTGCTTACTTCAAGGCAGTAAATAACTGAGTATACCACTAGATTATCAAAATGATTCTGACATGAATAAAGTAAATTAGATTATCAAAATACCATATAGTGCATGGAGTCTGAACTAGTCCAGTTGTAACTCCAAAAAAATATAATAAAATTGCACTTGTTCTACAAAGACAGGAACACCAGCAGTGTCAGATATTGGAAGAAGAATGGAAGTACAGTTGAAGCAATAAATTATGTAGCAATACTAGAAATGTTAAATGCCATAAACCATAAGCAGTTGCAATCGGCAGCCGGACTTCCCTGCTGGAATTTTACTTCACTTTGAAATAGAGTTAGCATGCAAGCAATAACAATAAAAAAAATATGCATTTTGATGCAAAAGCTTGCTGAAGAAATAAAGAAACTTATTATTCTTAATTTTTGGACTGGCTTGGGTATTTTATGGTGACAGCTAGAATAAAGCAGTAAGTATAGTTTAAGTGCATAGAGAGTAGTGTGTAGCAACTAGCTATGGTCTGGAAATATATTATTACGTTATCAGATTTCATGTAACAGTTGCTGATAAATTAAATTATGTATTTCTGTTACATTCGTGTTGACTGTTCATTGCCGTTTGAGATTAGTGAATATTATTTAAATGATTGTTCAATAGTACAGTTGACTTTTCATTAATACTAAAATAAAAACCCCAGAAGCAATAGAAAGGGAGAAGGTCTTCTGTTGTATATTAGAAATATCAATTTCTGCTCCATAATCCAAATGAATTAAATTGGGTGTGCTGTGCAGCATATCCAAGTTAAAATAAATGGAAAAAGAAATACAAGCAAAACTGTTGCTAGTACTTATTATTGTTCTTTCTACTAAGTAGAAGATGTAGATGATAACTTCTAACAGACGCTCTTTTAAAGAAGTGTGCAATCATAGCAAGTGACTGGGTAACGTTGAGGTTTTGGTTTTAAGGGAAAATAAAACTGCATAGTGAAACACAGATTTTGAATATCAAGAAATCAGGCTGTGATAGTTTTTTCACTGATGTGTTGTCTTCTGCATTCTTGTTAGTTAATGTGTGAAGAGTGAGGATATCATTTTCTCCTTCACCTTAGCTAGCCAAATTTCCTTGGTGAGTTCTGAGTATCAGCATTTTATTTCCTTCCTTCTCCCTTTGCAGGCCAGAGCTTGAATCATCTCAGCAAAGATATGTCACTCCACTCTATAAATTTTCTTCTTCTCTGTCATTGGGAACTACTGCTGGATGTTTCTCTTGGTGATAATTCAGATGCAAGATATACTTTATGGGATATGTCAAAAGCTCACAAAAAGAATGATGCCTTTCTTTGTCCTTATGTGATCACTAAACTGATTCTCAGTTCTGCATTAAAAAAATAGAACTGTAAATTCAAGTGTGTGTGTGTGTGTGTGTGTGAGAGAGAGAGAGAGAGAGAGAGAGAGAGAGAGAGAGAGAGAGAGATCAATTTTCTGCCATTAGACATAAATTCCTTCATGGCATTCTACCCTAAAATGATTACAGCTCCAATGGTACAAAGGCTAGCCAATAGTAGGCAATTACACCTTACCTTTCTTTTCATTACAAGAATAGTAGGAGAGTAAATTTTATCTGCAATGCCCAGTTGGGAGTAAGTTTGCTAGAAGCAGTAAACTAATGCAAACAACTTCTCAGAAGAGCTGGCCTTTGTTTTCTTTGCTCTTTGCTTTAGATCATGCATGTTCCTGGGCAGCTCATTGCTTTTACAAACGGAGAGGTCATTGTTATCAACAAGTAAATTTACCAGAATGCCAGGTAGAAAAGCTCAGATCAATTTTGTTAATTAACCCCCCCCCCCAGGGATTAGATCTTTGTTGATATTCATAAAGCTGTTTCAATTTATAAAAGCAAACATTGTAAAATACACATTAGTTGTTTGTTTTTTGCAATTCAGTTTAGAATATATTTGTAAAAGCAACAAAAAGCAGTTATTTTACTGAGGAAATACAGCAGTATTTGGAGTGTTTTAGCTTTGGATAAAGCCATTATGGAAGTATTTTAAGTTAATTGTGGGATATTATCAGCTCTGAGCTGAAGAAGCTTCTTGGATAAGAAATGAAATGTCTTCAAAGAAAAACAGAAAGTCCACTTGCCTCTTGAAACAGCAACTTTGGGACAACCATGACCTGGATGACTGAGGATCTCCATAGACATTTAGGTTTGAACCTTCTGAAGTTAGAAGACCTCGAGGAGGTGAGCTGCAATTACTTGTCCCTCTCTTAAATTATCCTGCATTGAGTTATCTCACAACAGGTTGTCCTGCAGCGAGTTAGCCAGGGTGAGACAGCAAGGCAAGTTGTCCCATTCTGCAGTAAACATTTGTCCTGAGAAATTTCTGCCTCATATTGCAAAAGTTACCAATTTCTCCATGCACGCGGTGTGTGTCAAAATTTCAGCCCACCTTCCAACTTCCTTAAAGTTTTTTTAAAAATTTTTTTTGTTACATCTCATATATCTAAAGGAACTTTAGGCTGTAATCCATTTAATTTAGTATGACACTATGACAGTAAACTAAACTTCAGGATGGTGTGACATTTTTTAAAAAAAATTCTTTCAGGCTTTATTTTCTTTTGCTCATAATGCAGTAGAGCAAGATAAAACTCATTTCAGAAAATTGTTAAATTGTCTCCCAGAGACAATGCCAGGGATTGCTGTTTTGTAGATTCCTTATGGGCAGCAACTGTGTGAAGCACTTATCTGGAGAGAAATTATGAAGAGTCTGTCTATTCATTAGCAATTCGTTCCATTGTGGTTGTCAGTTCTAGACTCAGCAGAGAACAGTCTTTAGTTCTCTGGAAGTCCTCAAGCAGTAATGTATTTTTTTAATCAATATATGTAGCATACCTTCAGTTAGAGAGTGGCTGGAACACTGGTTTTCTGAAGTTTTTCAATGCAGTACAATTTGTCATTTAATGTAACTGATCAGTTCAGTAAACTACAAACTAAGCTTTTTTGCTATTATTTTTCAACGGAAAAGAAAGCAAAGGTGCATTTCAGAAGATACTATCCAATATCCTAGTGCTAAAAAACAAAAGCAAAAACAATCTACTTCTTCCACTTTTTATTATGATGGATTACAATTCTGAGCAAAATGTCAGATTTGGAGAACTGATCATCTTTGAAGACTCTCAAGGTTCAATTAGGATTTACAAGCTCACAGTAAACTTTGTAGATACTGTAAATATTGAAAAAACTTTCTGATTTAGGCCTTATCCTAAACCAACCAGCTCTAATTTATTATGTGTCATACTGATTGATTTGGGCATGGGAGAAGATTTCTACTATAATGCTAAATAAAGCTTCCTATCATTAATTCTTAACTTGTCTTGTCTTATGGGAAGACCACCAAACATTACTTCTGCCTCCTATTAAACCTTTGCTTGATCTATTCCTTACGGTTTAGGAGCCAAATATTTCATGGGAGAGAAGAAGAGGAGATCATCGACTGACTAAATAAGTAAATATTTTTATGTTATAATGTACTGTATGGAGAATATTAAATAAATCATTTCTCTATTTCTGATTCTGACATTTTGACAGGTATGTTGTTATACAGTGAGGCTCATGTGGCATAATCAACATAGAAGTTCTTCAACTTATATAAACTCTGGAATTCATAGGTGGGATCTATTTACCAGACAGAAGTGAAAGTCAATGTAACTTTTCTTCTTGATTCTTCTTGCTCTAAAATGATATACTCCTGGAAAGCCATACTTCTTCCAGCTTATTGATTTTTTTTCCGTAAAATGTTAAAACCCAGTTTTTCTATCAGGCCTTGGATTAGGATGGGGTTTGAGCCCCTTTGGCTTTTTTAGTATCCCTTTGACTTTTTTCTGTCACGGTATTCATTTTACAGCTACTTGTATTCCCCATTTTTTTTTGTTATAACGCGTGTTGTTTTTGTTTTTAATTCTCTTTTAATCTATAACTGCCCAGCTTAATTATGAATCTGGGTGGCCTCAAAACTGAAATGTTGCATCACATTATATTAAAATTAAATTAATACATAAAATTAATACATACAATTAAATATGACACATAATGATCAATCAACAGTAATTTTCAATTTAACTACAAACATAAGACTCAGCTTTTCATCCTTCCGAGGTGGGTAAAATGAGGACTCAGATTGTTGGGGGAAATATGCTGACTCTGTAAGCCACTTAGAGAGGGCTGTAAAGCACTATGAAGCCATATATAAGTCTTAAGTGCTATTGCTATATCCGTCCATATGGACCTGTACCTCAAGATTCGTTATTGTTAGGTCAAAGTACAAATGTAAAAAACTACATGAGCAGCAATGTCCTAAAACTGTCTCAGTCTATTCTTCCAAGACCAGAAAGCCATCTAAAGTGTGGTTGCTTTTAAAATATTTTTTCTGTAATAGCTCCATTTCACACGGAAAACAAGGACAGATTTTTTTTGAAGCTTGTATTTTTACCATCTATGAAGAATCTGGCTGCACACATCTGTATGCTGTAGAGTAATGGCCACATAGGGTACGCAGGGTGTCATTAATGTCCTCCTATTTTGGGGAGGGGGGAATCAATTATGACAAAGGTAAAAACAATATTTTCCTTCCTGTCCTGAATATTCTGAAAGGGTGCGATTGTAAGTTGGAACGTTTGCAAGAATAAGTTATTAATGCTTCATTTTTGCTGTAGTACTGCCTGTTCTATGATGTTACTGGCAGATCAAATCTTCTGCAGAAGTATGGAAGTATGACAGTGGGTATTTTTAAAATAAATAATCAAGCAAAAAAGTGAATCTTTCAGGCTGGCCACTGAGATAGTATTTAAATTACAGGGAACAAGTCAAATGGAATTCACCTGGTTTTTTTTTCGGATTCATAGCTTACATACATTAGTGTTATACTTTGGCATAACCCTAGACAGCAGCTTCATCTTTCATTTCATTTCATTTCATTTCATTTCATTTCATTTCATTTCATTTCATTTCATTTCATGTATGTATGTATGTATGTATGTATGTATGTATGTATGTATGTAATTTATATGCTGCCCATCTCACTATCAGGCTACTTTATAAATATACATATTGCTTTTGAAATAACGTAGGTGCCTAAATCCTATGACCAATTTCCAAACTAGGAGATCTAACAATAGCAAATATCTATAAACCACCTCTGACAGCTATGGCCACAGCAGGTCCTGAACATCAAGCCACATCAAGCCAATAATCTATATGGGCAACTTCAATAGCCATCACATTAATTGGAAATACCATTCCACTGATGACAATGGCAAACTGTTGTCCAACTGAACTGCAGCAAAGTCCAACTGATTTTCGATGCTAAAGACAAGGGCATATTTAAATTGCGATAGCATGGAAGTAGAAAACCAATTCAGACTTATGCTTCATCCTTGCTACAGACTGGAAATTTCTAATTTAGAACCAGGATGTTTTTTCTTTGGGATAACCCCTTATGTTAAAGTATCATTCCTGATCAGGGGCTAAGCTTGCATTGAGGGAAACCAGTGCAAGTATCCACTTGAAATAATAAAATAGTGGTTAATAGCAGTGGTGCGATGCTGCCAGTTTAACAACCAGTTCGTTGATCATGCGCTTTGCACGTGCACACGTGCCTAATACGTGTTGTGCGTGTGTCCGCAGTTTTAGAAATACTAACCTTCTGTGTTACCACTTGGGAGTAACACAGCTGAGGGGCGGCAATCCGCTCTGCTGTGCCAATCAGTTGAGAAGATAAAGGTAAGTAAACTGCAGGGGTGGGTGGGCGGGCCGACCTGATCTTCGGAGCGAACTGGTTCGCTCCCAGCTGATTGTCGGAACTACTGGTTCGCCCAATCCAGTCCAAACTGGTAGAATCCCACCCCTGGTTAATAGTAATAAAGCTAATGTATAACTCAGTAGATAAAATTGTAAGAGTTACCAGTCAGTCTGGAAAGTTTTTCCTTGCCTAAGAATGAAACTCTATCTTAAATGGATTTTTTTTAAAAAATCTGCATACCCCAGTGCTAATTATTTACCTCTCATTAACCCTTCCTAGACTTATTATTATTTATTGAATTATTTTTCACAATTATGTACTACCCAACTCCCTCAGAGGAGGAGGAGGAGGAGGAGGAGGAGGAGGAGGAGGAGGAGGAGGAGAAGGAGGAGGAGGAGGAGGGGGGGGAGGAGGAGGAGGAGGAGGAGGAGGAGGAGGAGGAGGAGGAGGAGGTAAAAGAAACAAAAATGAGAGAAAAAGTTCAAGAAAAAGGAAGAAGGAATGACACTGTAAAACTCCAGAGAACTGAACGTTGGACAAAAAAGCATCAGGAATGTACATAATGAAACTTTAATACTTCGAATAATCTTGTTCAAAGATAACAAAACTGATCTATTATTTTTGCAGCCTCATATTCAGTTGCTGTCATCATAGTTTCAACACAGTAAAACACAAGCTGCAGCAACAGGAGAAGAGTTTTATAGACACACTGCATCATTTCTCTTGCAGTTAACATCAGTACAACTCTAATTTATATCACTGTCAGCTATAATGGTTAAGTATAAAGGAGGTAGGCAGAGTGAAGGAACAGCCTTGGACAATCTTTGCTGGGGAAATTGATTTCTGGTATTTCTGTCTCAGCACGGTATCATGCAAGATAAAATTGCAAATGCCATATCGCTTGTTGGTGACCTAGCCTACTAATTTCAGGTTTAGACAACCCTTATCCTATTGTCATAATTAGAAGTGTAGACTTCCCATCTAACTGGGTTTTGTAGAGAGCCACTTTAGTCTAGTGGTTATGGTACTAGGCTAGAAATCAGGAGGCTGTAAATTCTAGTCCCACCTTGACTGAAAGTCAGACTGGGTGACTTAGGTCATCACTCTCTCTCAGCCCCTCTATGTCAAGCTGGTTGATCAATTCCTGTTGCAACCAATGAATCAACACCTTGGTGATCTGAAAAAAAAAACCCAGATACTATACTTGAAGGAAAAAATGTTAGGAGGAAAAAAAACTAGTTGGGTTTTGTTTGTGGAAATGAAAGCACCTTACAGAGCTACCATCCACTTTAGTAAGTTTATTTATATATTTATTATGCCATCTCAAACACTAAGGAAACTTAATCCTCCCAATCCCATGGATTCTAGATGATGTACAACATGAGAAAATAAAATTGAAACTATAGTATAGCAATTAAAAATGAATACATTAAATATTCTATATTTAAAATGGCATCATCTAATCCAGGGCTGTCAAAATCCCATCCCATGGGCTGGATGTGTCATGGCTGGCCATGTCCACTCCCGGTTTAGCGAAGGAGAAAAGAGGTCCTGATATGTCACGTGATGTTGCCATGATGATGTGAGTTTGACACCCCTGATCTAATCGGTTTAGACCAAAAACATGATAGAAAAGTATTGTTTTAACTTGCTTCTGAAATGCAAGGTGAATTAAGGTTTCATGTTTCTCCAGAGGAAGAATTCTCCAGAACAGAGGTAGAGTAGTTAGGAACTTCCTATGATTTTGATTCTTTTGGTACTGAGTTAGATTTCTGGTTGATTGTGTTTTCTTATGTATGCCATTTCATCTCTGTAAGCTGCCCAGAGTCATTAAAAAGTCAGGCACTCTCAAAATTTAATTAATTAATTAGCCCACTTCCCTTGCGTAACCACCAAGTGGAGCCATCCATTCAGAAAGGAGAAGAATCATTGTAAAACCATGTTTTCAGTTTCCATTGCTTCCAGTTGATCCAAAAGGATATCATGGTTGATGGTATCAAATGCTACTGAGATGTCTAATAGGACCAAGAGGGATGTGCTATCAAAATCCCAATGAAAATAATCCACCAGAATGATCAATGTCATTTCTGCTCCATGACCAGATCTGATTCCTGAGTGAAAAGGATTCAAATAATCCATTTCTTCTATCTCCATAAAGCATAAATACATTACTATTTCTATAAATCTTGCTTTACTGCTTTCAGAATTATTAATCATTCTATACTATTTCATTAATAACTGTGTTAACTTTCATATTCCATTGGTGCAGGACTAAGCAGGAGTTTTTCCTCACTCTAGGACTCTACATAGCAATGCAATATTTTCCTGGAATCACTGGATATGTTCTGAGTATAAGAGAGAAATCTGAGTCTTAATATCTGCTATAATACTTGGTTACAGCCTCCCTTTGTGAAATACTTGAGAATGTACAAAACATTTAGAGCTATGATTGTTTCATAGCAAGAACATCTTATAATTAGGCTGTTTACTTAATTTTCAGAAAACTTGCCAAGTGAATTGGTCTCTTTGGGTCTTTCAAATGCACCATTTTCTCTATGTTAAATATATCACAGTGGTTTCTAAAGCTGCAATTTCTAACTGGTTCTTGAAAGAGCAATTAAACAAGTATTTTATAGTTTGGAAATGGTACTTCTCAGTGGCACACAAGCAGTGCCATTCTATCTTTTCCCTACATGGCCACTTTCCCGATACTTTTAACCTGGATACTGTTTCCATAAA